CAAAACAGCCCCAGATGCTGTATATTACAAATTTTAATCGGTATTGAGATTAATCCTTTTTCTCTTCTCCCCGATTTAAACATCCTGCCTCACGCACAACTCAGGCCTCTTGCTAAGAACAATTCAGAAAGACTCCCACCAGTGCCAGCCAACATTATGCCTTATATAGCCAGAAAAAGTACTATGGAAGACTCAAGGTACTTTTTCCTCTCCAGAGACTCAACTGGCCATCAAAGTACTGGCAGTCCTAGCATCGGGACAGCAAACTAGAAATGAAACTAGATTCCCTGTAAAGCATCATCATTGGTCACTGGGCCAATCAATACAAGCATAATTTTTCTAACAGTATCAAGTATGCTGCTTCCTGTCCCATCCTCTAAAATGCAAATGGCACAAACAGAGCAATTTAAAAATAGTTGCTATAGGATTAATTTAGGATTTTTCTACGTGAAACAGAACAGTTCTCTCCTGTAGCTTAAAATGCTGAACTTAAGTGGGCTCAAAAGAAATCTATTCCTGAGGGATGATATTTAAATTACTCTTCTGTTATACATGTATATGGGCTTAGCACAGACTGTCAACAAAATGCTTTTTTTCAAAACCATCCTCTAAGTGAACACAAGCCAATGGATTTAGTGCAAAAGTTTGATTGCACGTATGAGCATGTATGTGGGTTTCTACATCTGCACGTTGTCAAGAGCTTGTGTACAGCTTTGTGCCTATGGCCCTCAGTCCTGGTATGTGGTATGCTTCCTGACATCCCACAGAAACACAAGGTGTTTTAAGGACAGGTCAGGATGAACGATCTTGGAAAGGAGATAAGAAGCTCTTTAGGCGAGGAGAAAAACCAAAATGCTCTGCTTCTAGCCCTGGAGATTTTGCCAAACATAACATCATCAGCATGGATCCCCAGTATTTAGTTCCCTGCTTGGCTGCTGTCCTTGAGTGATCGTGGGTTCTTGGTCTCTGTGAATTAGCTTCTGATCTATAGAGAAGTACTGTTACTTTATTGCCAAGGAATGTTGTCTTGTTAAATGCATTAAAAATAGAGATGAACTAAGAAGATACCTTTTTATAAGTCTTCCCCCTCCAGCATCTGGAATCACATCATTTCACAATAATCTCATTTTTTCATTTAAAGAAAAAACTTTTAGGGTCCCGTGGTTGCAAATGCACCAAAACCAAAAGACAAATAAAGCAAAGATGTCATCATACACTCTCCAAAAGAGTCCCAAAGCAATAAATCCATATTTTCAGAAAAGCAGTTTAGCTTATGAAGCACTCATCCTTCTTGTGGCCTATCAGCAGCGCTTCAGAAAGGTGGGTTCAGGCTTAGTTCTTTCTTAGTCGTGGATGAACAACAAAACTGCCTAAACTTGGCAAAATTAGAAGCCCATACATTCATATACAGAGTTTATTACATATGTAGTTCTCACCTCTACGGAATAGGAACAGAAAAGCAAATTTTATTCTATGAATAGAAATGAACACGTTACATCATAGGCATTATATGTAAATCTCTGACGTGAAATTGTGATTTAACAGGAGTTGTCAGGCCATCTCCTAACAGCCTCCCCCTTCAAATAAAAAAAAAAAAAAAAAAAAAAAAGGTGTTCACACTCATATGTAAAAATCAATCTAATTTTTAGAAACACAGAGCACTGCTGGTCAAGAAGGAGGCAAATAGGTAAAAAGAAACTTTTTTCTGAATTAACTCAGAACAATTAAATAAGTATAGATTTATTTTCAGATTAAAGAGAGTGATATATGAAAGAATATTTAACACATTTTGAAGCTGGCAATATCTAAAATATTTTAACTGAGATAAATATGGAAGATTTTATAGGATTCACAGTATTTACCTCAGCAATCTCTATCCTTCTTGCAAGTTCATCAAGAGAAGAAAAGCTGTCATCTAGTGACAAAGCTTCCAGTGAGTTGTAAGATGCTCGTTCAGGTAAAATATCTGGAACAGTGTCAAAGTCCTCTTCGTTTGCCAAGTTTGCAAATGATTCTTCAGTGTCTATTATGTTACCATTTAAAAATCTGAGAAATAAATCTTCTTGTTCTTCATTATTTACCTTCTCCTCCTGTCCTGCTGTTCTCTGTATTTCCTTGCATACTCGTGAATGGGCAGTACTCTCATGCTCAGACACTTTATTACACCCAGAGCATACATTTGATGCAGTTCCATCCCGTGAAGATTTTTCATCATCAGGCTGTTTCTGTTGCTGCTTTAAATCACTATTTCCAAGCTGGCCACTAGCAATTTCTGAAGAGCCAGCAGCATGTTTTGATCTGAGCAGATTTCTATCAGCTTGCACATCTTTATCAGTAGGAACCAAATCAGTAGGCATATAATCAGCATCTGTTAAAACCAAAGCATCTACCATTGGCTCAAGAGGGGGTTTCACTCCAGGCTCCCCAGCTGTGCCTTCTATTTTTTCCGCATCCTTAGAGAGCTGTCTTTCTCTCAGCTGCGAACTGGTATCTTTACCGGCATCCCCAGATGATAAACAGCCCGGAGAAGGCCTGCCCACTGTCCCTGTGGACTGGGTGTGTGGCTCCAATGTTGATTCAGCACTGCAGTGCTGCTCCTCCATGTGGTCCTTCCCTGCAGCTACCCAAAGGCTTGCTGCCTCTGTCTGTCTCTCAGTTTTGTTTTCACCTGGAGAACTAGTGCTCAGCTGTTTATCTTCTTTCTTTGGTCCAACGCCAGGACAAGTTTCAGTACCTAAGTGCAACAGGAAAAACAGTTCCAGTGTTTTTAAATGATTCAAAGCATCAGCCCAGCGGGGAAAGAGTATACTGTGATTTGATAACATTGTAACCTAATGCTTTAAAACGCACTCCCATAAAGGGCAGGTATTTTATGCTCCAGTCAGAATAGAAGTTCCGTTAGTAGTCTGAAAAGCTGACTCCTGATTCAGCAAAGTATTTGCACACATTCTTGCAGGCAAAGCACATGCTTTAGTGCCCTCCTGAAAAGAGTTACTCCCATACTTCGAGCACAATACGTATGTAAGTATCTTTCTGAACAGCCACATTTCTTCTAAAGCATATTTTATGTGAGTGCATCTCATGGGGGCCTGGATTTCAGACAAATGCGCTTCATTACAGAAAACTGTATTTTGATGCTAGTGTTATCTATCACACAGGGAGATATCTGCATTTCCTTTAAAGAAGCTGAAATCATACTAATTTAATAAATTTTAAATTCAATTCTTTTAAGTGGGTAACTAGCTCCTTTGGTTAACACTAAATTAAATATCCAATTACAATATTTTACATAACAGACTGCATAAAAAGATGTTGCTTTTTGGATACATAAGTTAGTTTACATATTAAAAAATGCAGTTGGATGCAGCTTATTTCTGTATTCACATTTACAATACAAATGAAAACTGATTTTTCTTATCTGAAATTTCAGAGAGAAACAAAGGGAATTCTACATAGCTTGTAAATTCATCTACTATTGGCATGATCTGCTGATGAAGGAGTAGATGGTTAGCCCAAGTTGTCAATAAAATTATTAGACATTAGCCATTATGAGAAGCTCAAAGCCAAATCTCCCCTTTTAGGCTTATGAAGAGAGAAAGGGGGTGTTTAGAATTAGAATACAAAAGCAAGCTAGCTATGACAGAAACTGTCTTTTATTCCATACTTTAATACAAACTAAGTTAAGACTATGTTGTAGTAGAACTACTGTTACAGTAATAGTAATAACCTCAAACAACAAATACATACCTCTAGAAAACACTCATTTGCATTTTTTGGGCATAGCAAAAAGCAGAAAGGTCTTACGAATAGATGAACAAAGAGATCAAACAATGCCCTTATTAACTATATATGTTCTCACAAGAATGACTGAAGATCTCTATGCCAATCTTATCCTTCCTCACCTCTTAAAACCTCATGTAAAATCTGAGCAGTTTCCTGAACTTGTTACGTGAAACAGGGTCACATTCGTTAGCCTTTAAAGAAATGTTTGCATTAATTCATTGTATTGAACAGTTTTATTAAATTCTAAACTATCCCCATTTTAAAGGATAATGCTACAAGGTAGCATAGAAAAAGACAGGCTTGGAAATTGAAAAAGAGAATATCCAACCATCTCAAAATGCAGAAAAAAAAAATCAGGACAACATTAACAGATAGAAAGGGTACGGGGAACCTAACTTCTGTAAAACACTGAAAGAAGAAATGGGTACAAGACAGGGTCTTTTTGAAAATTAGACACAGATGAGTAGATAGCTCAAGGGATTTGTAACGGGATACTGAGCCCTTCACATATAGGTCACAAGTTCAAACACAGCCTGGATTATTGGTACAAGATTTTGTTACCATCTGTCAATTTTTCCTAGTGGATACACCCACATTAGGACAGGCATCTTTGTTGGCAACAAAGATTAAATGGAAACGGAAATTAAATCAAATTCTCTACCATGAAAGGTGGCCCTTGAGCTCAGGGCACTATTCCTAGGAAAGTAATAAATGATCCTAGCATTGTTATCTAACTACAGACGTACAGGAACTGAGATGTAATGATCATTGTTACATTCCACCTCAAATTTTCAGCAGCTTTCAATATTTTCTTTACACATACTTCAAAACACCTGCTTGAGACAACCCCTGCCCAATCTAGGCTCAGGGCAAGTTAAGACAAATACTTGAACACTTAATTAGAAAAGATGCTTTTTCCTTCTAAGTTAAATGAAGACGTACCCACCAACGTGGCAGTAATTTTTATCTGACAGTCAGAGATATAACAAAGCGTCTACTGAAAATTTTCTAGCAACAAAAGCACTTATGGTAATTTAAGAAATGTTTTTTTCCCCCCAAACAGAGTTACTTTAAAATTGATACTTGCTTTGTTCATCACAGAAACCTGTAGCCACCACTTTTTTATCCTGTTAATCTGTCCTGGTTTCAGCTGGGATAGGGTTAATTTTCCTCCTAGTAGCTGGTACAGTGCTGTGTTTTGGATTTAGGATGAGAATAATGTTGATAGCAACAACTAACACATCGGTGTGGGGAGAGCTGCGGGGGGGGCTGCTGCTCGGGGACTGGCTGGGCATTGGTCAGCGGGTGGTCAGCAATTGCACCATACATAATTTGCTTTGTATATTGTTTTTTTTATTATTATTATTAGTACTATTTTATTTCAATTACCAAACTGTTCTTATCTCAACCCACAAGGTGGGGAGGGTGTGGGGGTGTGGAGGTATGGTGTGTGTGGCTCTCTCTCTCCCCCGCCCTTTACTCTTCTGATTCTCTCCCCCATCCCACTGGCGGGGGGGCGGGGGGGGAGTGAGCGAGCGGCTGGGTGGGGGTCAGTTGCCGGCTGGGGTTAAACCATGCCATAATCCAAGACAGCCTAGCAGAGAGAGTACTGACCTACGGCATTCTACCAGTGGAGAATTCACACTTCTCCATCTTTGTCCCTTTTCCCATTTAAAAACAAATCCCATATGACCTAAAAGAAAACAGGGTATAAGCAGTTTCTCCCCAGCTTGGAAACAGGTCTATATGTACACGCTGCAAACTTATGCTAAGGGTTTTATTAAATTAATCATTTCATTAGAAAAGGTTTCACGAAACATATGAATTTGATTATCTTTAGTTAACACTAAGGCTATTAAGGCTTTCAGTCAGAAACTGAAGAAATTAATGGATACAGGATGTATCAAATCTCACCTTTTAATATACATGCGTTATATTTATATAATAGCTTTAAGGGCCCAGTTCTCTCTGTTGGTAGACTCAAAGAGAAAATCTGCCAGAAAGGAAAGTGTAGCAGAACAGACCATTCACAACCCTTGCTCAGAAGGGCAGAAAACTAATTCAGTGACTCTCCCAGGAATCTTGACTAGCCAACTTCTTATAAAGCTGTTTCTTGGTCACTGTATCCCCAGGAGAGAGGAATCGTGAATTCTTAGGATCAACTGCCTACAGAGGCTCAAACTATGTTCCGAAATGCCTGCAATAAGTCAATGGAGTAATTTTTGCTTTAGATTAGTAAGGAAGTGTGATTTTACTTCACAGATGCTACCATAGTACAGTGCAACAATCTCTACAATGTAATATATATATCTCTCTTCGTATAAGCTAATACTTCTTTTTGATAATTGCTAGATAAATTCTTATTTTGGGCATATGAATTCATATGAACGACAGTCTTCAAACCACTTGAGAATTTCCTTTTCCTGTCTTACTGTAAGTCAGACTTCTACTACCAGCAGCTGAGTTAAGTAGTTCTCCCTGCAGATTGGCAGATATATTTCTAAGAGAAGAAAAAGTTTACATAGTTACTTCTCATTTTTCAAGACGTAGGGAAAAAACCCCACCCAAGAAACAGAAGACAAGCATTCTAAGTTTTCAATGAGAAGGCCCATGCATTTAGGCTAATGCTGAACTGGTTAGTTTAAATATTAGGAACTGTATGGTTCTTACAGTATAGGATTCTGCTGGGGTTCAAGAACAGCCCCAAATGGCCATATTGCTTCTAGTCCTGAGCTGGATCACTCAGCTACAGCTCGAATATTTTTTGCGCAGCACTGAGCGGTGTATACAAATTCAGAGTTATGGATCATCTTTGTCCAATTTCTGTATTAGTTCATACCAATGCCTTCCCTACCCAAAACCTTCTAACTGCAACTTCTAACTAACGCTCAGCCCCATGCTGCTGACTCATTGCCTCAGTGAGGGGCAGCAGTAGCTAATTGACCACGCACTGCCTTAACACATGAAGAGACCTGTCAGGGTGAGAAGTCAAGAATGTGCTAATCTTGTGAAAAGCAGCTTTTGCAAATCTTAAGCATTTAAACCTGAGTTAGGCTTGAAATATTCATATCTTTGTATTGAAAAAGTATTTAGCACTGCTGGAAAATTCTCAGCAGAACCGCTTTCTATTGGATGACATAGCTTTATTAATTTACAAACATTTCACAGGAACCCAAAGATTTTAATGACATTTTGACAAGAGTTACATTAAGAGAAAGGAATGAAAAAAAAAAAAAAAAATTTACACCATTAATTACTTCCACATTAAGTTTTAATACATCTAGATGTTGTACTACAGTATTTTAGCCTTGACACAAAATGCTCCTTACTTCAGAAGTTTCAAACGTTCAGAAATTCTGATCTCCAGAAAGCTTTTTTTCCCACTTGGAATAAAAACAATGGAAAAATTGTAAGTGCCTAATTTTTTTCCATGGGAATTTCCAACCATCTGAAAATAAAAAGCATTGGGTTCTTTTGATCTGCTTTCTGAGCTGTATAACATGTTTGTTTCGTGTTTTCAATGTTTTGTGTTTAGTTAGGTTACAAGAACAAAAGACAGAGAAAAGGCAGCATAGGGGTCACGGTAAAAGAGGATGAAGATGGGGAGGATCCACACATCTAGAGAACTGTGACCCTATATCTTCGTTAATTCCTGATTCTCCTGAACACCCTGGCTGATACACACTTGTAGGATAGTTTAGGTCGAAAGGGACCTCCTGAAGTCACTTAGGCCAACCCTCATCTTGTGAGAAATTCTAGCTGTTTTTGAGGAAAGGTACTCAGTTTAGGCCAATTTTGGCAACTGGAACATGGCAAAAAAAGAAACATTTTGCTCAAAGAGAGGAGAGATAAAGCACAGCCTGGTAGTCTACCAATGCGCTTTCCCCCTCTGTCTCCATTTTAACGATTCATTAATTTGTAAATGTTTCATAAAAACCCAATGATTCTAACAAATTACTCAAAACAGCCACTGGCCCAAGGCAGGAGGAGGAAAATGAAGCTGACATAAAAGTGTGTACTGAAAAAAATTAACTGAAGTATGTTTTTCTCTTCAAGACCTCCCAAAAGCTTCCTAATCTTCTGTTACAGAAAAATGTGTCTCAAAATCAGTATATTGCATGTAATTTAAAATAGTTACTAATACTGTTAGCTATACCAAATTGCCACAACTCAGAATATTTGTCATCAGATTGTCTACCTTATATTTTATACATACAAATTATGTATCTTATCTCTAGTTTTACACAATTTTGTAGCTTACGTAGGCTGCTATAAATGCACGCACATTTAAAAGACTTTTTTTGATGGAGGCTAGAATTACTTTAATTACAATTCTGAATATCAGTGACTAATTAAAATTGCATAGTACGTCCATTGTGCAGTTGTGAAAAAAATGAAAATTTGCACAAATGGATCAATCTGTGGGAATCCAACAAATGCTGTAGCTTCAAATGAAATCGCTTCATAGTATTTATAGGAATATGTCATTACATTATAATATTTAAAACAAACATATGCACATGTACGTACACACACACACACACCTGATTTAAAAGCATCAGCTTCTTTTTCCTTTGAATTTTTCGATTCCATTAACTGAAGCAAACAACCGCTTTCCCATGTATTTTCTGCAGTTACTAGCTGTAAAATATGAAAGTATTTCCAGTAATTTTTGGAATTAAACAGGAACACTGACTTTTTGAGACATCCAAACTTCAAACAGTTTCTATACTAAACTGGAAAGATTATATCTAATAATATTAAAAATATATTTATTAGCAATCTTTGACAAAGCAGAATTCAATTTAACAGCTGTTTACCTTATTTTTGGATGCCTGTGGCCTGCAGCAATAAAGAAAAAAAGAATAAATTAAACAACTTAGTAGCAACATTCTTCATAACAAATGTCATTGAAATCTTATAAGCCTTTGCTCTGCTATAATATTAGCACAGAACTTTTCTTACATTGCAACAGTGTCAGCATGCTAGCATACTTTCAAGCACAGAATTGTACCATATGGGAATATCATCAGAAGACCAATTAGCCCAAACATTGCTCCACCTAATTGAGAAAGCAGCCAAAAGAAAATTTACTGCAATGTATCAAGCGATCTAAATTCCTGTAAAACTTTATGCTCAGAAGGAACTGTACCAACTTTAAAAATCATGTAAGGACTCAGTATCTACTAGTATTAAAAGTAACGATCACTATAACAGGGATTGAGGAATGGAAGAAACCCCACAAAACGTATTTCCCTCTCCACAGGATGTTTATGCAGGGACATGTTTTCTGGGTACTGTAAGATGCAGCAGCTCCCACTGATTCCACTGGGATTCACAGGTGAGTCAGCACTGCTAACAGTCAGCATGGACTTTGCAAACTGTGTAGAGATTCATGCACAATGTGTTTTATCATGCACAATCTGTCTCGCAGCCTTTCATAGAGCAACGAAGATAATGTTGAGCATTTTGTTTAAAGGTACTGAAAAAAAAAAATAGAAGTAGGAGAGACAAGAGGGACAAGTACTGATGTTCCTACTCTCTAACAAAAACTTTTAAAAGTTGCATTGACTTTTAAATTTTACCATTTAAACTTCCAATACGGGACACTCAAAACTATCTTTAAAGAACAAACATGTCCAGTATGTAGCTGTAGACCTTGATTATCAGAAAAAGTTACATTACTTTCAATTACAAAAGCAAAATGCTCACATTTTCCGAGACCTGCATGTTATTCGTTAAAAATTAAAGTATAATTTTAATTACAAAATAAATTGAGATTAAAGTTTAGGAAAACAACCATATGAAACAATAAAAGCAAATAGGCTTTTGCCTAGAGAGTTTGGAAGAGTAATAATATTAAATACAGAGAACTAATCACAGCAAATGAACACAAGCCTTAATTTTTATCAAATTGCAGGGTTTCTCAGAACCGGGAATGATGTTACGTAACTGAAATTTTGTAGTTTGAAATGAGGCTGCATGGAAGAATTAGAAGGAGAAAGCAGAGTTATTGTCAACAAGGTGACAATCAAGCTGCTAATAGGGAGGTGCTGCTAGTTGCAGCATATAAATTGCAATAGACTTGAATCAATCTTTCTGTGGGCTTGCAAGGTCACGTGCAAGGAAATGTAGGCTGAGGAACCCTGCAGGCACTCAGAGTGCAATCTCTCAGTAGCAGCAGGCTGTGGGTGTAAACATGCAGCTACGGTGCTACAGCTGCCGCCTCCTCCTGTGGAAATGCCAGAGTACACTTTCCAGGGGCTCCCTCCCATACGCATTAGACTACAAATAAACAATCCCTGCCTGGGTTCTGGTAGTCAGCCTGGGTGTTTTCAAACTTCTGTATGGTCACCCAGAAGAAAAAAATGTGGAAGCCCAATCATACCCTCTATGAACAACAGGAGCATTTTGGCTTTTGTTACATCCAGACTGACTAAGCCAATGCAAATGTATTTGAAGATTTCCCTCTCCCCATCTGATTGAGAGCATCTCCCCTGCCACAGGTTGGTCTTTTCACAGCCTTTGAATGGGGTTATTTTCCTTATTATCGTTGGCTGATCATTTTTCAGTGGCAGCTGGTATAGTTTTTTCCATCTGTCCCTTAAACTCAATGTCTAGTAGGTAGGACATTCACCCATGAAATAACAGATCTTCTCCTTCCTGATGGGTACAATCCCATATCCAGAAGAGTACCCAGAAGAGTACCCTAGGCACTGTCCAAAAAAGTTTGTGATACTGTGATGCACTGATTCAGGAGGCTGATGAATCAGGCAAAGCAGGTACGAACTAAGATTTCACAACTTTTCAGAATTCTGCCACACTAGGGAACTACAGAATCACTACTTCATAATGTTTACACAACCTATATGAAACCAACAGACGATAACGAGAATGACTTAAAGCATTAGGGAATTGTCCTAAAATGTGGACAATTTGGGAATAAAATCCTATAGGGTAGATGTGAGTGCTGGAGTCTGAGATGCTGGACAATTGCATTTAAAAACAATGATTAAAACAATAGGTATTGGACACAAGCACCATCATCAGTTCTACAGTCTCTCTCTTCCTAAATTAACACTACTCAGTTTTTACTTTGGCTGACAATACTAAAACTTAAGACTCCATTTCTGGCAGACTAATGATTCGCTGAAAACAGTTCAGATCTAGTCCCTGTATGTTCCTCAAACCATATTAAAACATTGTGAAAATTGATGGCAATGGAAACATTTTTGTTACGTATCAAAAAGAACCACCGCTTTATAACCAAATTCACTGAAGTCAATGGCATGCAACTTTTATTTTGACATTGACTATTTTAAAACACCTATACTGGCACATAGACAACAGCTGCACTAACATATTAGTACTGGAAAAGTAATAATATTTTCTTATACTTACTGTTGATGCGAAGAGCAAACTCTAGTAAGCTTTTCCAGATCTCCACTGCTCAGTTCTTTAGCTGAATTCCTCAGTGTTGTAACTGGACTAGGAACTGCTGTTTTCCATTTTCTTTCTAAATTAAATCAAAATCATTTTCACCCAAAGTATTATAAAAGTAGTATTTGCTTAACATAAAACATATACGTGAAACTAATTAATGGAGAAATATTGACAACTCTTCTGTGTGTGATCTACAATCTTGTTCCAGACTATGCAAAAAAGCATTGTATTTTTTCACAACATCAGATTCACCAACCCTAAACCAGAAATAAGCTCAAAACAACTGTGGATCAATCTAAGCCTCAATTAATAGAATAAAGAATGACAAACTATTTGCACCTTTTTCAGGAAACGTGCGAGAAGAAATCTAGAGCAGGAATCATAGAATCATAGAATCATTGAGGTTGGAAAAGACCTCTAAGATCATCAAGTCCAACCGTCGACCCAACACCACCACCCACTAAACCACGTCCCTAAGCGCCTCATCTACTCGTCTTTTAAATACCTCCAGGGATGGTGACTCCACCACTTCCCTGGGCAGCCTGTTCCAATGTTTCACCACTCTTTCAGTAAAGAAATTTTTCCTGATATCCAATCTAAACCTCCCCTGGTGCAACTTGAGGCCATTTCCTCATATGGAATACTTTTCTCATAACAAGCTCAGAGAAATTCTGGTATAAATGCTGCTTTTGCTATGTAACATTTTTAAGCTGGCAAAATGTATACTCTATTATTTAGAAATACAAAATAAATTAACTCTTTCTTCTACCATATTAGTTTAGTCTGTACTTACCCCACTGCTCCTGTATGGAAGAAAGATTTGCAAGCAGCTGCTCGTGATACAGTCGTTCAAGCTGAATGAACTTCACTGCCTTCTCATCTGAATGGAAGGTTAAAGAAAAATGCATACATATACGGACATGTTATGATTTATTTATATTTGGCACCATATTTGAAAGAGCAATCATTATGTACCTGAAATTTGACATAACTGAATCAAATGAATAATGGCTAGCATCCAGATTTCTGTGCAAGGAAGAAAGTAATAGCAGACGTGAAAACAGCAAGTAAGAAGTAAAGTAAGTTGAGAAAAGTTCCAAAAAATGAAAATCCCGTCCTCTTCAGCAGTTACCTCTTCCCACATGCCTTAAGTCCAACAAAAGTTTTTCTAGAAAAGAAACGAGCAAAATGTTATTATGCTGACAACTCTTCTCAGAAAATGAAATCTCTGGGAAATGAAAAGCAAAACAATTATACAAATACCGGTATTATCTCTCAAGAAATACAATTATATGCCAATAAACATAACTAACTGAAAATACAGCTCCTTTCTACTGACCAGCTGGAGACAGTATTTAAAAAATTTCCCCAGCTCAAACTTTCAAAAAATACCCTCCACCATTTCAACCATTGTATACAACACTGTTGGATAGCTGAGTTCACCTTTTGTCTTCTTTCTAAAGATTCTTTTTACTTTTCTTCTATATGAAGAACTCTTTCCTCTCCCTTAGGGTTATCAATATATTCACAAGGTATACTGATAGTTATATATTTTGTAATAGTCAGGACAATTCTAGTTCCATCAAGCCCGAGTTGTTAGTTGTTCTGTTTAAAGCCATGTTTTGCCTGCTATTTGAAATTTAATTCTACAGTATAATGAGGATAGAAGTACAGTGAATGAGGTTCTTAGTAATATAGAAAAACTATTTTCCATTATTCACGCTAATTAAAATACTGGAGTAATTACTAAAAAAACACAACCAGTACTTGTTACTCTTGTTAGCCTCATGCAATATATACATAGCATGGCTTATGAACAACAATATTAATGGAAAGTATATTCTCTGCCTTCAAGAAATCTGTTATTAGAAACAGAATTACAGATCAGAGAGATAGCCTTAGAGGATCACAGCAACAAATCCTAAATTGTTGTTAATATGAAGTTCTACACTAGATGAATTAAAATGCCTGTCATGAATAATACAGTGCAACATGATCAAGTAAGTTCCTTTATTAACCTCAGGAAACTGATGGTTGCAAGTACAGAGGAGACATCCTTCATAAATATGTATTATATAGTGGTGTTGAATTCCGCACATCAGGTGTACATTGCATTAAAAATATTTCCTTTCATCAGCTTTAAATACAGTGCGCTTCGATTAAAGGAACTTCTATGAAAGAGAAACTGTCTTTCTATCATACTGTTGAATGCATTTTAAATTTACTGTATTTCCCCACTGCAGAGCCATAGTTTACTGCAGAATTTTTCCATGCCTTTAATTTGCGCTGTGTATTTTGGATTTTCTGATGGATGTTTTTGAATTAGGATGACCAAGACAGAAGTACTGTTTTCTAAGACAGTGATGGATATTTTATTTTATATATTGCTTTTATAATATTGCGACAGTTATTTCTCTGGTTTTGTACTACAGGATAATGTAATTTGGCTAGGTTTCAAGGATACCTTTCCAGGTTTCTTATGCTTTGTTATTTAACCATTACAATTGCCTATTTGCTGTATTTTGTTTGTAACAAATTACATAATAAAGAAATAATCTGTTGATGGATGTTTGAATTAGGATGACCAAGACAGAAGTACAGTCTTCTAAGACAGTGATGGATATTTTATTTTATGCTTTTATAATATTGCGACAGTTATTTCTCTGGTTTTGTACTACAGGATAATGTAATTTGATTTGGTTTCAAGGATACCTTTCCAGGTTTCTTATGCTTTGTTATTTAACCATTACAATTGCCTATTTGCTGTATTTTGTTTGTAACAAATTACATAATAAAGAAATAATCTGTATGCATGGATTCTGTAATTTATGACGCATCTTTGTGATTCACATATACCTTAAGGACTTACCACTCTTGCCTCTTCTTTTTATAGTCTGATCATTTTCCCCTACAGGATAATGTAATTTGGCTAGGTTTCAAGGATACCTTTCCAGGTTTCTTATGCTTTGTTATTTAACCATTACAATTGCCTATTTGCTGTATTTTGTTTGTAACAAATTACATAATAAAGAAATAATCTGTATGCATGGATTCTGTAATTTATGATGCATCTTTGTGATTCACATATACCTTAAGGACTTACCACTCTTGCCTCTTCTTTTTATAGTCTGATCATTTTCCCTTAAAAGCAAACTGAGGAAAACCCAGTCCACCTTTTCTAAAAATACAGTTCCACTTTAAGGTTTAATATGATTATTCTCTTCCACAATTACTGAAATATATCAGAGTAATTAGCAGCAGTTCAACTATTAAGACTTTTTGACCAGACTTTTTTGTATTATCTAGGAACAATTCAAAATAAACGGGACCATTGAACCAGCTGTTCCCAGAAGCAATTACCCGTATTTTCCTACGACAGTTTCTCAAACTACCTTGATACGATTTTGACTAATTAACATTTGCCAAAGAACACATTGCTATTGTTTGCAGGTTGCCGATCTCACTTAGCTCAGTGTGTTTGGTATTTTTATTCTAAGCTAGACACTTGTAGAACATATTCTAATCAACTGTTGTGATAATTTTGTTCTTACTGTAACAGTGCCCTATTTGATATAATAGAATACATACCCTATCTAGATTGGACATATTCCCAGTTACTAATACTTAGAACAGAACTTATCCTATAAAAACAGAAGTTCTTTGAAAATATTTTCTTACTTCCTTGTTTGTGCACAGCTACTAATGATTGTATCAGTACAGCTTTTGGAAGTGGATTTATTACTTAACTCATATTCCAGCTGTCTGATTAAGAAGGACTTGCTAACATATTGTATATTCACTCATGGGTAAATTATGGCTGTTCACTTCTTTCTAACCCTGACCCACAACCTATGAGTCAATGGTAAAGCATTTGTCTTTTATGTTTTATCATGCCAGGTTATTTTAATATCGCGTAACAATTTCTGCAAGTAAAAGGATACATTCCTCCTCTTGAAAATAGGTCTCAGCTATCTGCAAAAGCAAAAAGAGAAAAATTAGGATTCTGTAATTTTCATGAGAGTGGTAAGGATATAATATGAACTTTTTATCATAGTTTTAAACATCTGTTTAATTTGGGTAAAATACAAATGTTCAGACTAAATACATGTATGCTGACTCGGAAAGATGTTTAAAAAGAATATCAAATAACAAAGAAATATTAAGTCCTCTCACACGAATGGATTTGCCCAAGTATTAGTTGGGTTTTATCTTGTTACAACAACAAAAAATTATTTCAGAAACTTTTTTAATGTTCATATTAGAAAGTTTTAAAATGACCTAGAACAGAAGTACTGTGTTTACTGAGATGAGCTGAAGAGTTTGAATTCTGCTACTGACCATTGTTTCCTTATGTTTGACCAAATTAAGATAATTGCTGAGCTCTCCCGAGTATTACAGTGCAATGTGATAAAATAGAGAAATGGAGGTTTCCTGACTGATGAGAAAAGAACAATCTTTGGATAAAAGACACTAAAAGTATCACCTATCACAGCATCAGAGACATACCAATGCCCTTCCTGTTTATATCCTATTTACAATAAATAATTACAATAAATAATTACAACAAATATTTCAAATACATAGAATTTGAAATATTTACAATATGAATATTTGAAATTCACGAGATAAACGTGAAAGGACTCAAGTTCTTAATTTTTTTCTGTATTACTCCTAGTCCACCCACAGAAGCCAGACAATACCATTGCAGCAGCCTTCTGCCACCTCCTTTCCTGAAGCTGCTCTGCTGCGTTAAAAAAATTTGAAGATTCTCTGCCTCATGTGTCAGTTGACTAAGCCTAACATCTTGATATGCGAAGCTCTTCAACAATAGAGCAAGTCATGGAGTTAAGCCAGACGGCAGCTCTTTGATTTGCACTGTAGTTGTTACGACATGGAACAAATCTGCAGCTCTTCCCCCTTAGGTTGACATTTCTATAACAGAACAATTAAAATTGGATTTGTAACAAGACAGCTCTGCCAAAGACGACCATTGAAAAAAAAAACCCCCTAAAAATCACAATTCTTCAAGACTTGTTCTCTTAGATGGATGTTGAGTTAATACAGATATGTCAAAACAAAGAAATACCAGGGAGTTGACACAGAAATAAGCAAACTTTCTCTGTTGCATTTAGAGCTCAAAGTGCTAGGGAGGTTTAATGTAGAGAACAAAAATCATTCCAAAGTAGTTACTGAGGACCACGAAAATCAAACATAAGACACACTACATATAAAATACTTGAACACCTAAGTCAATCTCCAGCACTTCTAGCTTAACAAAACGTGTAAGCTGACATTAAATGCTGCTGTTTTAACCAACGGCTAGGAATTGAACAAGGGATCTCTATGCCTAAGGATTCAAGATGTCTAGCTGCAACATCTTAAAAAACAACTTCACCCTGGCTGGGTAATTTTATAACGCCTATCTTTAACAGATCACTGCAAAAAGGAACAGTAAATATATGCTCACCAAGGGTTTATACACTGAGAAGCTGTGTATACACCAAGAACACAGGCATGCAAACATAAGAGAAAATTATGTTCCGGTATACCAAGTTATTGCTGTATCAAAGCTACGTATTTCAATTGCAGACTACTGAAACAGATTTATTGTTCTCTTCCTAGTGATGCTTTTGCTTTCAACCAGCTATTTCAAAGCCAAAATTACAAGCATGGAAGTGGCAGAACTTCCAGAAGAAAAGTCGAGATGCCAGTTAGAAAAAATACTCCTTCTGTTAATCAAGTAAAGGTATCATTTTTTTGGTTTGGTGGGTTTTGTTTTGTTTTGTTTTCCCCCCAGAACTGGCATAAAGGATTATTTCTTGGACTAAAAGGGCAAAGACACCATTGTACTAGAGTCCATGCAACCAGCTCAGAGAAAGCAAGTATCCAAAAGACAGTCAGAAAATGAGCATGTTTCTAATCAGAATTTCACTTCGACTCTAAGTCGGTGGTGGGGAGTATTATAGAAAAGATAGAGCTGATACCTGGAAAGGAAAAGGTGTAACACTGTATAGAAAAGCTAACGTGGTAAGCGACACATTTTTCTTCCAATTCCTCCCTGTAGACAAATAATCTTTGAGATTTGCAACAACAACAACTTATTTGTGCTTGCTAGAAAACTGGGCAGGCTTTCCTAGAAAGCTAAGGAATACTGATGGCTTTGTAAATGCAATAAAATACAAAAAATATAAACCTCAGAAGTAAAAATAATTTGTTCCACAAAACGCTGCAGTATCAGTGACCTTTACAACCATTGAGTAATCAATCTTCAGGGACAGCGAATGTTGGCAGTCTTCCCATTTGCCATGCATGGTGTGGCAAGTGCCACGCTTGCAAAATGTGTCCAGTAATTGCAGGTACCCTGATACCTGAACATTCAGGTTGAGACACCTCATAGCCGATACTCCAATGACTTCTGTGGGAGCACACAAACATTCAGTCTCAAAATCTTTGGGGCATATCAATTTAGGCACTCATAATTTGAAGGGCTTAACAAGCGGGCACCTTTGTAAAAGTCTAAAGATGATTGCTCAAAAAAGACAGCAACTTGATAGAGGAGTCTAGATAACAAGTTGCGTATTCCTGGCTCTCAGCCTTATTACTAACCACTAGACCATTCTGAGCCCAGTATCTCCAAAAGAGAATTGGTAAGTGACTTCTAAGGTTCTTTATTTGCACATTTTGTCTGTTACCCACAGTAGTCTCCTAAGGATTTCTGGAGCTGCCAAAGCTCTGTATCTATGTTTTATATACAAGTACTTCTTAGATACTGTAACAAAAGCTAAACAAATCACATGAATCTCATTGAAGACAGGAAAAAAATTGCATCCTATTTTAATTAAAAGTTAACCTTTAGAACAGTCCCTAATATGAAATATTTAATACAGGCTTCCCAGAAACAACATGGATTGTTAATACTCCAGAACATCTGACACAGCTCTTTATTTTACACTGAATTTTATCATACAGAATAAAAAGAGAATGTGACAGAAGAGTATTTGCTAGCCTTGGCATAAAAGAAGGTTACTGGCAGGCTGTATTAGCTATCTGAAAAAAGAGACTGAAGATGACAGGTTAATTTGATGGAAAAGGAAAAAAAAAATTCTTAATAGACTCACTTTACATGAAAACATGAATGCTATCTTTAAAATCCTTTATTTCTCCCCCAGATTAAAAAGTGTGTTATGATCCTTGTAAGTTCTGTTAGCTTTCTTTCAAACACTCCATTCAAAATGCTTGATATTTCTTAGTAAAAAAGAGATGGTGTTTGATTACATTTCAGTCTGGAAGTGCAGATTCTGTTCTCAGTTCTGTCACAGTTCCTGTATGACTTTCAAGAGGTTGTTAACCTTAGGGTTTGGCTTCCTCATCTAAAAAGCAGCAAACAGATTTCACCTCCATCATGTTCGATGACACTCCTTAATGTTTGTAAAGTGTTTTGAAGTTTTTGCCCTAACTGTGACCTTTGTACTGACTCATGAGCAACCACCAAATTCGGCATAGCTAAAAGTACAAATGGTTAACCCTAATGCTGTTTCAAATAAATTAAGGAATATCAAATATCTTCACTCAAACACAGATTAAAAAAAAAAAAAATTAAAATTCTATGTCAAATGTAAATTAGCTATAATTTGCAATACTAAAGAGAAACCTCTTTCTCAAATATAATTGCTTATTTATATTGAAGATAATAAGAATGCAAGAGTTTGATCACAGTTTAGAAGTTTAAAATATCACAATCATCCAATCTTCCACAATAAAGATAATGCAACTAAGTCAAATCAGACACTGTATAGTATCTATATATATGTAGCCCATATTAGACGCTACAGCCAAACAAGAAGTCTTCTAGTCCGCTGTTAGTCTGACACAACTAAACTATAAATTAATACTGCATCAAGTCCTATCAACATATTCATCTTGCATCACAATCTCCAGAAAGAAAAACATACTGGCCAGTTAGCAAAAAAGATTGCTTTTCAAATCACACAGTATTTCCTTTGGTCTTGCAGGTATGGCAACTGTGCTATAAAAAAGTATACACTAAGAAACCTTGAATCTTAGCATTCATGCATGAAATTCATGCTAGAAAGAAGTCTGCAACATTAAAAATAATTCCTGTTTTGAAATGTTATTTAGACATCAGCTGTCTTGTATCTATACCAGTGCCTTACAAACCACACATTTAAGGTATGTTGAAGAGTGATTTTCCTAAATCTTCCTGCCAAACTAAAATTTCATCATTTGGGGAATTAGAAAACCCATTCTTAAGCATTTCCTTTAACTGCAGAATATACTTTCAAGGCAATTTATAATTTAATAGAATCATAGAATAGTTTGGGTTGGAAGGGACCTCTAAAGGTCATCTAGTCCAACCCCCCTGCCGTGGGCAGGGACATCTTCAACTAGATCAGAGCCCCGTCCAACCTGACCTTGAATGTTTCCAGGGATGG